ACCCTTCCAATTCTCTTACTCTCATCCTGTTGGGGGTAGGCAATGAGAAGAGGCTGTGCAGTGTTTAGTTGCTGGCTGGGGTTTAGTCATGACAGCTGCATGTGAGAGCTGTACCTCTGCCATATGACTGTACACAGTACCATTCCTACACAGAACTGTCAGTCTGTGCATGGTTTGTTAACATGAAATGTACTGAAGGAACATGCTGTTAACAGAGAAACATAATAGCTGCAACCACTGCTCACACTCTTTCCCCAGTTCATTGGCCCAGCAGCTGCAGCCAGCTCCTGAAAGACCTTCTTCCTAGAAACCTCTACCATCATCTTCTGTCAGACATGTGTCATCTTCATTGAGGTTAATTATCTCCATTAAGTAAATATTGCCTAAAGAGTTTCAATGGAATACAATATTTTTAACTAAATATCTGTTAGTGCTATAAGTTACAATTACTGGCAGCATCCAACCTCTATTGGATTAGAGACAATGGTGATGATTAAGCATTTCATTAGCAACAAATTAGTCACATGGATCACCCATACTCTCTACATACTTAATCTTACCCTCTTTCATGCTTAGATCAAGACTTGTAGACAGCCTATTGGATCATCAACTATGGAAGAATACTTTTTCCAGCAGTCAGTAAGGTTTATCTGCTGATATGTGCCAAAACAGAACCGAGTGAATAGATTTCCAGATGTGGAAATCTTTTTTTGGGGGGAACCTGCAAACATTACTCTCATCTGGCAGAGATCAGAAAATGTTAATATTTGTGATTTTTAGACATAACAATTTGTCTGGTCAAACACACATATAACCTGGTAGTTCTGACAAACATCCAGTATTTGGATAGCAATGAGGTCAAGTTTGGTTTTATTTCTCTGACTAGAAAATCTCTAAATCTGTTGCATGTTGTGTGTAATCGGTCTCCAGCCACAGCCTAAGCTCTTCTTCACTACTTACTGTGCTTTGGAAGTACAGTAAGAATCTTGACAGTTCCATTACAGGATTGTTGATTTACAATTCAAAGCTTTCTTTTTTCACTAGTCTTGTCTGTATATATTTTCATAGCTTTGTACTCACTTAGAAATCAAATCTGACAGAAGTCACAACTCCAAAATTACAGTATTGTTTTTAACAGTAATACTTCTTGCAAAGCTTTTTAGCACATCAGTGTTCCAATGGTTGCCCTGAACCAGATGCTCTGAACCAAATGCTCATTACCTACAGTTCCCACGACTATTGAATCTGTCTAAATGCACCCATTACATGACCATACTAAAGCTCTGGTCTGCAGTATGAAGTTTTATATGTAAAACTCATTTTATGTTGCTAGTGAATTTCAGGTTAAAAGCCTTTAGTTCCTGTATTCATGTTAAGTCACTTCTTCTATTGGAAAAAGTCATGTATCGGCTTTCTTTCGTGGTACATACCTGCCCTTCCTGAATATTTCCTGCTATTCTCATTACTGCAACTCAAAAATAGTAAAGAAGAAATAAAAAGAGAGAGTTCATAAAGAAAAAAGATAGCTTGCGTATGAAGACAAAGTAAATTATGATTCTGTTGCTTGAAAAACCACAACTGAATGTGCATGTGATAAAGATCTATAAAAGTATGAAAGTAGGTGACTATTCTAGAGTACATAAATGTAAAGTGTCAAAGGACTTACACTATGTATCAGTTTGGTTGATGATATCAATCAAAACTCACTGCCTTAAATCTACATTTTTTCCCCCAGTGTGCTCTTCACTCAATAAGAGTGACAATAATTACTACAAAGAATGGTAGATTTTTTCCTCTGGCTAGGAGACCTCATCAATAGATGCAATTTGAAGTAAATATTTAAAAAGGTTTTTAAAAATCCCTGTTCCTAATACTAGATAGATCTTAATTCAGTGTCATTGTTATTCATACACTGTGTAAATAGGGGTCATGATTACATGCCTTTTTAAAAACAGATTGCAAAAGGATCATTTAATTGCTGAATATGTAAGCTATAAAGATATGAATGGTATCTAAATTCTGCCCTCTGGTGTATCTACATGATAATGCACAATGACTAAATGATAGTCACACAGGGTGACTCATTCAGCATTTAATCTGCACACACACGGTAAACGAGGCTACTGTCTGGGCAAAACATTTGTGTCCTTCTAATAGAAGGTGAAAGCTAGAGACTAAGATATTAAAAGACTACAATACAAGGCTTCAAGGAGGGAGGATATCTCCTGGAAGAACAAACTGCTTTTACTACTTAGTTCTTACCTGATCCTGAGAAACTAAATACTTGTTTCATACATTCCTCTCTTTTGAATACCCAGATTGGGAATGCCAGTACCTGACACATAGATCTTTTGAGCACTACAAAATCAATGGAAGTTAAAAGTGATCAGTGAGTGTGCCAGCAAGGTAGTGTAATCTGCTGAAATAAGTACAGTTCTGAGTTGTCAGAGAATTGAAATTACGGTCTTGTTGTGTCACTTAGGAACACACGTAATACTGACCTGAGAAATGTTTTGCATTAGTTTTAAGGTAAATTATTACTTATATTTGTCAGAAAAGTGAGCAAGTATTAAAATAGTAATTGCTTAAAAGAGATTCACGTTACTTCGTGGAAGTCCAGTTCCTGAAATGCCACAATTCCTTTTTGGACCAGGCTCACCTTGTTGTCCTTAAAAGAAAGCCAAACACATAAAACCCCCTCAAAAACCCACCCAAAATTCCAATTTAGAAAAATTTTTGCAATTTTTTTACTTCACCGACAGCCTAAAGCAAAGATGACCAAAGTTCTCATGTGCAGACAGTGCAGCATCTGTTGTGTTGCCATTTCGTGCCTACAGAAAATATTGTGCATTCTGAAACACTAAATAGCTTGTGTTTCTATTAACATGCTTTGTACCTGTCATTGGAGTAACAGCATTTACTGGTTCAAAAAACAATTTTTCATTTTTAAATTTCTCTGAATCTCTCTTGTGCCAAAGACACAGGAAACACCCTTTCTGTAGTTTGTGTGTATGTTAGTAGTGTATTTGGACCATCATTAGGACTCAAGAAATGAGATCTCAGATACTTCAGCTACTGATTCACTAGTACCTAAAGAACTTACTCTTAAAATCAAAGTTAGATGATGTGCTTATTGCAAATGTTAGCTAAATTCATAAACTAAACTCACATACTTTCCCATGGTAAAATGTTAGGAACATACAAACTGAATTTCATCTTTGTCATAAAAAGAACCAGCAGGTGATTATTTGAAACAGATGTGAAAAAGTCACTATGTCCCACTTCAACAGTAGCAGAGGAAATGGAATGATGAAAAATGAAAAAGATAAGCATGAAAATACAGGCTGCCAATTTTGCCTTTGATATATGATAGGTTACTCTATTTGAACTACTCTTATTTTTTTCTACAATGCTTGGCCTTTTTTATTTATCAAAAAAACTGCTGAGTACCTAAAGATTACCATTATTAAGGGGGAAAAAAAGCTGGTTTTATAAGGGAAAATGCTTTTAAAATTGAAGGAATATTAGAATGAAATCTAAGCCAACTAGTTGTTGTACTGTTATATCACATTTGTGGTTTAAATTAATAAACGCCATGAAAATTTAACATACAAAATGTAGTTTTGTTGGATGACACAAATTCTCCAGTATGTTTAGAGACAAGAAAAAACAGAAAACAGACATTAACACAAATGATATTAAAAGCCACTCAATCCACATTTTTAAACTGAAGGCACTGAACACAGGGAAGTTATTGAAAAGATGGATAGACAGTACTTTATCATACATTTTCCTTAAAAATTTTTGAAAAGCTATAAAAACACTGGTAACACCATTACAAATTATTTACTGTAATTCAAAAGAAAAAATAGGAAAATATTTAATAAGGAAGCCAAAGAGTATGCATTCCCTTTATTTTCTGAGAAAAGAAAGAAATAAGAGAAGCAGCTAAAATAAGGAAAAAAGATCCTGACTCTAACAGTGATAAATAAATACAAATGTGACATTTAAATATTTCCAGACCAAATATTAGTTTCTATATGAAGAAGGAAGTTATTCAGAGAGAACTTGAAATTGTCCAGTTAATACTTCAGCTTGTAATTTTTATTTCGGACAAGTTTGAAGAGCATTATAAACAAAAGGAGAAAAGGTTAAAATTCACATCTCTGCATCTTGAAGAAAAGCAGGTTGTGAAATTCTAATAATACAGGAGCAAGGAAATATATATTTTTTTTTTCCTTCCAGGTAGTTTATAAGTAAGAAAACTTTATGACTGAGTTTCATCAAATAGTGGAACAGGTTTCCTGGAGATGAAATGGAGTCACAAAACCCCGTGCTTTGGCTACTTGAGTAGGGCCCCAGAAACAGAGGGTAGGGTTAGATTGGATATGGGGAATAAATTTGTCACTGTGAGAGTGGTGAGACACTGGCACAGGTTGCCCATAGAAGATGCGGACGCCACATCCCTGGAAGTGTCAAAGGCCAGGTTGGCTGGGGCTCTGAGCAGCCTGGCCCAGGGGAAGGTGTCCCTGCCCATGGGGAGGCGGGGGGTGGCTGGAATGGGATATCTTTAAGATCACAGAATCACAGGGTGGGTCAGGTTGGAAGGGACCACAGTGGGCCATCTGGTCCAACCTCCCTGCTCAAGCAGGGTCATCCTAGAGCCCACGGCACAGGACTGCATCCAGACGGTTCCGGACCAGCCCGAGTCCGGGACACTCTGCGGCCTCCCCGGGCCACCAGTCCCGGGGCTCTGAGGCGCGCGGGGAGGGCGGGGCTCCCGCGGCCAATGGGAGAGCGCGGCCCGGGGGCGGAAGTGCGTCACGGCCCCGCCCCGCGCCAGGCGGAACTTCCCTTTCCCCTTCCCGTTTCCCGCCGCCGCGCGCGCCGGAACTGCCGCACTTTTCCTTCCGCACCGCCCCCGCCGCCGGAAACCCGCGTGTGCTTCCCGTGCTTTCCCCGTCTGGCGGCGGCCGGCGGGTCGCCGTTTCGTCCCCCCCCTTCTCGCCGGCGCGGCCGCGCGAGGTGCTGGAGGGTCCCGCGAGGTGGGTGAACAGCTGCTGCGCCCGGGAAGGTGGGAAGGAGGGAGAGAACGAGGGTGGCAGCGTCCTGGCTCCTGCCGGGAAGGGGCTGCTGAGGGGCCCCTGCGCCCCTCGGAGCTCGTAGAAGCCGGGCGGTGTGGAGGACGGGCAGGCACACACAGGCCCGGGAAAGTAAATACCGCTATCTTTTCATACTTCCCAATCCAGCATGTCCCCAGTTATAAAAGACGTTTGTGGGATCTGTTTGTAGGTGAGCATGCGTAATGATTCTGGGCATGAAGCTACTGAGTGTTGCTGGACCAGATACGAAGGAAGACAAGGTTACATTGGGCAGGAGGTGGCATCAGGAGCTATACAATAAGATAACAAGTTGTATTTCTATAGAAATCTTCAAAGAGAGCAAGCTTTTCTAGGCTGTGGAGCAGGCTTCAGATAAAACAGATAGACTCTAATTTTTGTCAACTAATGCCCTTCAATTAGGGAGAGAAATTATCTTCTAGATGTTTGAGGGAGTGGCTCCTTCCCTGCATCCCACCCACGAATTGTGCCACATTCCATCTTGGTTAATGTCTTCTTGCTTAACACTGGTGTGGAGTTTGTAAACACAGCAAATCCTGTTGTCATCAGTTTGTAGGTGGCTGTGTTGGTTCTATCTTAGTAGGTACATGCCAGCAAAGTGTGCTGTGAGGAAAATGATGTAATGCAGAGAATGCTTAAGGTTTTTGCCTGAAACGTGTTACGTCTTAAACCCCTGGGCTAGAAGTCATTCATACTTTTGTTTGTTTAGTGATGAACTCAAATTGCAAAAGAACTTGGGTTTTGATAATGTTCCTACAAATTATTTTCTCAACAGTTTTCATATGCATGGATATCACCTGAATATTCTTACCAGAGCTTAGATTGTGCACGAGCTTACCCCAACCATGAGTGGCTCCAAACCTGATATTCTGTGGGCCCCGCATCATGTTGACAGATTCGTTGTGTGTGACTCGGAGCTGAGCCTTTATCACATCGACTCTGCTATGAGTTCAGAACTCAAGGCAGGGTCCTTGCGCCTGTCAGAAGAAACTACGGCTACGCTGCTGTCCATAAACTCGGATACGCCCTACATGAAATGTGTGGCCTGGTATCCCAAGTACGATCCCGAATGTCTCCTTGCTGTTGGACAGGCCAATGGCCGAGTGGTACTTACCAGCCTTGGTCAAGATCACAACTCAAAATCTAAAGATTTGATAGGCAAAGAGTTTGTTCCCAAACATGCACGGCAGTGTAATACCCTGGCGTGGAATCCACTGGATAGCAATTGGCTGGCTGCTGGCTTAGATAAACATCGGGCTGACTTTTCAGTGCTGATCTGGGATATCAGCAGCAAATATGCCCCAGAGACTGCAGTTGCTACAGAGAAAGTAAGACTTTCAACAGGCGATGCGGAATCAGGACTGGTAGTAACAAAGCCACTGTATGAATTGGGACAGAATGATGCTTGTCTCTCTCTCTGTTGGCTTCCACGGGATCAGAAGCTGCTGTTAGCTGGAATGCATCGAAATCTGGCTATATTCGATCTAAGGAACACAAGCCAAAAAATATTTGTAAACACTAAGGCTGTCCAGGGAGTGACTGTTGATCCGTATTTCCACGATCGTGTAGCTTCCTTCTATGAAGGTCAGGTTGCCATATGGGATTTAAGAAAGTTTGAAAAGCCTGTTCTGACCTTGACAGAGCAACCAAAACCCTTAACAAAAGTTGCATGGTGTCCAACAAGAACTGGACTGTTAGCTACTTTGACAAGGGATAGTAATATCATTAGGCTGTATGACATGCAGCATACTCCCACCCCTATTGGAGATGAAACTGAGCCAACGATAATTGAAAGAAGTGTCCAACCTTGTGAAAATTACATTGCTTCCTTTGCCTGGCATCCCACAAGTCAAAATCGAATGGTAGTAGTGACCCCCAACAGGACTATGTCTGACTTCACAGTTTTTGAAAGAATTTCTCTTGCATGGAGTCCAGTGACATCCTTAATGTGGGCTTGTGGACGACATTTGTATGAGTGTACAGAAGAAGGAAAGGCTAGTTCCTTGGAAAAAGACATAGCAACCAAAATGCGGCTCAGAGCTCTGTCAAGGTATGGTCTTGATACTGAACAAGTTTGGAGAAATCACCTCCTAGCTGGAAACGAAGATCCTCAGCTGAAATCGCTTTGGTACACTCTGCATTATATCCTTTATTTTACTGTAGTTTCTGTCCTAAAGAAGTAATATACCTTTGTATGTAAACCACTTATATGAAATGCATTAAAATCTTTAAATATAATGTAACATCCTGTAAATGCTTTGCATGTTAACAGGATGTAACCTTAAATTTTTAAAAACAGTTTTTCATACACTTGGGAAAAATTAAGCTTCCTATACATGAAAATACTTATGAAGCAGTATACTGAAGATATGGATCAAAAACTTACAGGAAACAAAGGTCCCTTAGTTTATGCTGGCATTAAATCAATTGTGAAGTCATCTTTGGGTAAGAATGTTCTAATTTTGCTAAGTTCTGTTGTAGTATGTTTGCAGAATGATGCACTCATTGGTCTATCCTTAATAATTGTCCAAAAAGGCTACTTAAAAATATTGAAACAAAGTATTTCTGTTTATGTATTAATAACGTAAGTTAACAGTTTATATTACAGTAATTTCCAGAATTTTCAGTGTTCAGTAATCATAAAAGCATAATATCCTCAGAGGTAAATCTTTGAACTATTTCAAACATAGTGAGTTTTGACTATGGCACTGAGAATTCTTGCTCCCCACAGGACTATTTTATTTTCCAAAGCTCTACATCTGGATATAATTCTAGGAATGTGACTTTACTGTAGTTACTGCTAACGTATTAAGTACGTTTGCACAACTGTGTTTAGATAAGCTGTCCTGTTCTGAAGTGGTAATTGCCCCTGGTGTATCACATTCAGCCTCTCATGCTCACTAAAGTTTTTGTTAGTATAATCTATTATTTGAATCTTCTCTATTCATTATATGTCTTTTTAATATAATGCTCCTTGGAGCAAAAAATAAGCCTTCAGTGGTGGGAAAGCTTCTAGCACATTGATGCTGGCTAAGAAGAAAACTGGTAGAGCAGGTCCTTGACTGTGTATTATGTATTTTCATTTTGAACATACTGAAAAGCCCTGTCAACTCTAACAAGAGGTAGAGGAATCAAAAAAAAAACTTAGTGGGGAATGTGTGTCAAGTTTAGGTGCATTTTTTTTTTTTTTTTAGCAGATCAAAATAATTTTGTGTATGCTGCTCCTTACTGTGGAGTTGTAAGCACTGTTAATTTAAAGTACTGAAAAATAACACTCAGCTTTTGCACTCTGCATTATGATTGAAATGAAAGCCTCATTGTGATTGCGATGTAAATTGTGATTTAAGCATAATTTAACTTATTTCCCATTTCTAGGAACAACAGAGAACCTCAGGCACAGCAGGAGTGGATCTGATAGACAGGCAGATATTATTCAATATCTGAGTGAGGAGAGATACTTGGCTTTGCAGCTCTGTGGGTGGATAAAGAAGGGAACAGACTTAGATGTGGAACCTTTTCTAAATTCATTGGAACAGGAAGGAGACTGGGAACGAGCTGCTGCTGTAGCACTTTTCAACTTGGACATACGGCGAGCAATACAAATTCTGCATAAAGGGGCTATCTCAGGAAAAGGTGCGTATTGTGTTTAGTGTCTTCTGTTCTGGCACTATATCAGATCAGTAGATTTTTTTTCTATTAACAGAATTATGGAAGATAGTATGGAAGAGATGCCTGTTGTCTTATAAAGTTGTTACTTGAAGCAGTTGTATTGGAGCTTGAGAATCTGACAATCCTGGTATTTCGCTCCTCAGACTGCCATATGTCATACTGTCTAATTAAAATAGATCAGATGTTTCAGAATTTCTTACTGATACAAACCCCAGAGAGACATACATTTGGAACTAGTGGGATTCTTTTACTTTAGTGGATTTGCTTCTTGGCTGGATGTCATGTAAATCTGCTTCTTTTGGGCTGTATTGCCAGTGCAGTGGCTGTGGAATAATTAAAACATAATGTTTGGGATCTGCAGAAAACATTTGTTTTGGGGTAATATCTGTTAAGAGTTGCAGTGTATGATGGAAAAGTTAAGATACTGGAGCTGGGAGATGGAAGTGGCTTTGTTCTGTTTTCTTGCCAGTATTCCTCCTACAGCACTGCTTTGCATCTGTGTTCTCTATTAAATTAGAAAGACTGTTGTGCCACTAAAGTGGGTAGGAAAGACGACAAGCTCTAAAGATTCCTTTATTTTTAGTATTTCCCCTTTTAGTGGGGGTATGAGTGTCTGTCTCTGCTTTTCATGCAGGGGTTCAGATTGAAGACATGCTATCTTCAAATTCAAGAATAAAATTGAACTTTCTGACAGAATGAATATTTAGATGAAATAGTTTCATGTTTTAGGAAACTTCTTAACTTGAAACTGCTATATAACATTGTCATCCTCCAGCTAGATCTGTTAAGCGATAGCTGGATATACAATCCTGTTTTTCACTTTTTGTGGATATGAATTATGATAATGACAGTCTTTTTTGATAACTATTTCAAAATACCAGAACCAGTGTGATGTTGTTTGAAGTGTAATGAGGCTGTTGTGGCTTGTGACTTTTAGAGATGTTAACTTACCTAACAGAGGCATTTAATGCAGAAACAAGTGCATACATGCTAGTGTATGCACATTTATTTTAGCTAGTGTTAATTCTACTGCATTTTGTCTTGCATCCTGACAAAACATTGCGTTTTAAATGGATGCTTTCAATTACAGTTTTAACTGGATTTTTTTTAAGTCCTTAACTTGAATAATACTCTTTCACTGATTGCTTTTCATAAATCAGGTGATCTGAACCTTAACGTAGTAGCAATGGCTCTGTCAGGCTACACAGATGAGAAGAACTCACTTTGGAGAGAAATGTGCAGTACTCTGAGACTGCAGCTGAACAATCCCTACTTGTGTGCAATGTTTGCTTTCCTGACAAGTGAGTCTGGTTCATATGACGGTGTTTTGGTGAGTAAATTTCTGTTTGGTTAAAATTCCTCTGTGTAATAGGAGCTTATAGAAACATGTAGGGGAAGTGCTATATACTCCAGGAATTAATCAGATTAGAATATATTCTTTTATCCTGATGCTGGCAAATAGCATTTGTTTCTTCTCAACAGACATCTCATATTAGCGAATGTTGCGTTAGTGAACAAATCATGCATAAACAGCCCAAATATCCATTATAGTTCACACATTTTTTAGAGGGATTTTATCTTTGGCATGGAGTTATTAAATCACTAGAAATACATTATCAAAATAATTTAAACAGTGGGTAAAAAGGGGAGAGAGGTTAATAATGGAATTGCAAAAAGCTGAATAAATTCAGGGGAGTTTGCAGAACTTTCACCAAACTATATTTGCACTGAATTGTATTTTTATTTTTCCTTGTTTACTTGTTAAAATAATTTTACTGTGTGGGAATGGTAAGCAGAGCAGTTTCACATCTGAAATTGTTACAGAATTGCCATGTGAAGAGCAAACTAAATCTTTAATCTTGAGATACTTTGAATCTTTGGAGGAGTAACATATTTGATTCTTGGTTAGCGAACAACAGAAATACTTGAATCAGTAGGAATTATTTAGCCCGAGGGAGGACTCCTGTAATACAACAGGGTAATTGGCCCAAAGCTGTTGAAAACAAAGTTGACATAATATGATGCTTTTACAGTAATCAAATAAATAAAAGATTAGAATCCCAGAGGAGAGAAACCTCAGTCTTTTTTTCTCTCTTTGAAAGAGAGTATTCTTGTTCTCTGGTAGTAATTTTCTAGGTTTTTATTGATGAATTGGAAACTCACTGGTGTTATTTGTTTGGTTTTATTTTAATTTTTCCTTCACTAAGACTTGTTGAAGTTTGCATGAAAGAGATTTTTGTCAAGCACATCTTGTTTTGGCAATGTCAGTCACAGTTTCTATTCTGAGGATATCAAGAGGGAAAAGTGTGGGCATAGCTAAGTACTAGAATTAATCTAGTCCAGTACTTTTTTTCTTCAGTATCTCATCTAGTAAAAGGCTTAAAAAGCGGAAAGTAAATATCACTGCACCTCGAGTGTCAATATACTTCTGAGAAATTCATGTTCTGGGTGTTTGGAGTTAGTTTTTGTTTGCATGGGGTGTTTTGTTTACTTTGTTAACTTTTATTTGCAATTTTAGGAAGGAATTGACTGGTTAGGCTAGTTATTTTGCAAATATGATAAATGTGACTACTCACTCCTAAGGGGAAGGAAGCACCTAAGATTCCTAAATGCTCATTGGTCAAAAGGAACAACAAAAGTCAGAGGGTTCACAGTCAGAAAGTTTTATTAGTAAATTACACAGTTGGCGTGGAAATTGATATGTTAGTCCCTGATCGACTATATTAGCACACAGCAGTGGGTTTTGGATAAAGGAGTGGGGTGAAAAGGAAGAGAGGAATTAGTGGGAAATTTTGTAAATATGAAAATAGTTTGTTTTTCTTTCGCCTGTGACTTGGTGAGACTCTTGGCCATTTGTGCTAGAAGCACTAAGCCCAGCTCTACATGACTTGCTGAGTTTCTTTTTGTAGAGTTTCATAAACGATGGAGGATGTGTTGTAGGAGGCCTTCCTGCCATTTGTATAGACTGTTCCTGTAGCCCCAGTCTTCCTCTGATACCTCTGAGTATAAACCATTACGGTGCTATACTCAGTGTCAGCTTTCTTCAGATGCCATGTTTTCTTTTTGCACAATTGGTTTCATTGTGTTAGTTACACAGTAGTGGAAATGCTCTGATTTTTACAATGTATTGAAAAAGTGGAAACTTGCATGTGATGTTAATGTTCCCATTTTTCTCTCTGAAGTATGAAAATAATGTGGCTGTACGAGACAGAGTGGCATTTGCTTGCAAGTTTCTCAATGATGCTCAGGTGAGTTTGTGGTTGTACTTCTAAGCAAACTTTTAAACTGGTCTTTATTCAGAGAAGAAACTCCGGGTTAAAGGGGCGAACACTGGAAGTAGAGTCATGTGTGATTTGGCTTTTGTCATCACAGTAGTATATAAGGTATGGTGTAAGCTGGTTTTTGGTTTGTACCTTCAGCTTGGTTTTTGGTTTGGTTTTTGCTAGGTTGGTTCGGGGGATATTTTTTGTTTGGTTTTGTTGTTTTGGGTTTTTTCTATTAGTATTCATTACATGGTAGTTTAAGTGCTATTGCATTACCTGTAGACCTGTTTTACTGGAGAGTGTTTGTACTTATTCAGTGGTTATTTCCAGATGCTTATGTTCTCTCAAGTTAAAGTTTGGGTTTACAGCAGGAACATTTTATTTTAAATTCACCAAAGTATTTAAAGATTACATAACTTCCCTCTTTGCACTTCCTATTAGGAAGCTTAAAGTTCATTATAAATACTTGATTTCATGCAATGCAGGACAGTATAATAATTTAACATTTTCTGTGTAACATCCAGCAAGCAGCATATTCTGTTAGCAGAAGACACTCTTTTTATATATATTTATATATTATGTATTTTTTTTATAGCTGAACAGGTTTATTGAAAAGCTGACGAATGAAATGAAGGAGGCTGGGAATTTGGAGGGAATACTGTTAACAGGGCTGACAAAAGATGGGGTTGACTTGATGGAAAGTTATGTTGACAGAACTGGAGATGTCCAGACAGCAAGCTATTGCATGCTACAGGTTAGTGTTTCACTTGAAATAAAGCTTTACAGAGGAGAAAAAAAACATTGTTTCTTTATCAGTGTAGTACCTAATCTTGTGAACTAAAAAGTATTTTCTGTGTTAAATTGGGACAATATATATTGTGCCTGTTATGTGGAGTCATCTGAAACACTAAGTATTAATGACAAGCACGTGTCTTTACACCCTCTGGTTGAGATGGTAGAGAAAAGAGACAAAAGGAAATCATTGTCCTTTTCACTAGTTAAACTGGGAATACTCATTTCTCTCCTTATTGCTGGTGTGTTTCCTGACAGGGTCATTATTTTTTTTCCTTCCAGGATTTTGATGGAGAACAAAGGTGAGGTTTTTTGTTTGTCTGTAAGCATTGGATTTGGGTTTTTTAATGATGGACTTATCTTGGCCCTTACACAGTAGCAGCTATTGCCAGCACAGTATTTAAATGCATATGTAATCTTAACAGTGATATGGATTGTGATATATGACAGAACTTTCAAATCCTTCATCTCACTGATATGAGTTCTTAGGAGGATGTGGCAGCACAAGTATTTTCAACCAGAGAGGCAGACCGAAGAAAACCTTTATCAAACTCACAGAAACTTCATCTTCTTTAAGACAAATTACACTGTATTGTTTCGCATATCTTGTGCATTTTGTAAAGCCTTTTGAAAAAGTGAATAATAGGTATTGTGTGTCTGGCATTTTTTCCTGCCTGCTTTAGGGTTCTCCATCAGATGTACTTAAGGATGAAAGAGTTCAGTACTGGATTGAGAACTACAGGAATCTGTTAGATGCTTGGAGATTTTGGCATAAACGTGCAGAATTTGATATCCACAGGAGTAAGCTGGATCCCAGTTCAAAGCCTTTAGCCCAGGTAAATGTAATTCTTGTATGAAGTATGACCAGTCCAGAAAGAAACGTGGCATGGCACTTCTGTAAAAAAAAAGTTGCTGGCTGCACCTTGGCTTTCAGGACAGTTTGTGTGCAAAAGAAGGATTTCAGCTAAGGCTGCCCTAAAACAAGAACCTGTCACCTTTTCTTTTAAGTAACAGGTCTTTCAGCACCTATGACTTATCAACACCTTTTTTTCTGGGGAAACTGGAAACTCTTCGGTTTTTTTCCTTACATGTTGAAAAACAAAATCAGAGATGTATCATCAAGCTGAATTCAGTGTCAGTGAAAATGATGCTGAAACCAGGGAACTAGCTCGAATTGCTCTGTTTTAATTGAAACAAACCTCAAAGCTATTTTGAAGCCCTTGAACCTGGAACTAAAAGTGAACAGCAACAACTTTCATTATCAGTTCTGAACATAAGCTGACCCAAAAACTAACGTCCTGCCCAAATGCTATCTTCTTAACATCTGGTGGCATTTTTAGCCAAAATGGTTTTACTCACAGCACCTTTTACTCTCTCATGTCTTCTAAGTATGTTCATTACAAGTTCTAGGGCCCGAGGATTTCTGAGGAAGGCTGTTTTTTTAATTCATGTATCCATCACAGCTGTTTGGGGAGAGCTGCATCTGTGCTGCTCCAAGTGGAAGGGAGTTGAGTTTATTGTTTCTTCTTTATGTGGTTAACACAAATAGCCCCTAAAGAGTTTAAAATATGTGCTCCTTGGTATCAAGTCACAACTTGTGGCCTGAGGGGTGCAGATAAATAATATTAGGATAATCCTTAAGATGGGGACTCTAGAGTGAGTCACCCTACTATAAGGAGGGAGACCAGACAATTATATAGTAAGTAAACTTAATTTCTTCCATTACTGCAGATGTAGCTTTTTATTATCTTAAATAATACTTTTTGAAGTTTTAGGAGTTGTGCATGTTTTTATGTGCTTTTGAAGTACATAAGAGCATTGTTAAGGCATAGTCCTCAGAGCTGTGTGCCACATCTATAAGCCAAGATGTTAAGAACTCCTTCACAAATAGCCTTGGCTTTCCTTGGCTAGAATATCTGGTAAATAAATGTTTACTAGTTTGAATGGGTTCACTCATAGGTGTAGCAAAAGTGGAACCAAACAAAAAAATTAATGGGCTTTTGTTCTCTTTAGGTGTTTGTGAGTTGCAATTTCTGTGGAAAATCAATCTCTTACAGCTGTTCAGCTATTCCTCATCAGGGGCGAGGTTTTAGCCAATATGGAGTCAGTGGTTCTCCAACTAAGTCAAAAGTTACAAGCTGTCCTGGTTGCCGTAAGCCCCTTCCTCGCTGTGCACTTTGCTTGATAAATATGGGAACACCAGTTTCCAGCTGTCCAGGTATGACACAGTGGGTTTTAGTTACTCAGCTGCAGTAGTAGTTAGAGGCCTCACTAGCAGTTCCTATTGGAAGATCTTCTGTTGCACTTTTTTCTTTCTAGTTTTGCTCATACTGTAAGTATTCATATCCATCATTTTGAAGGGAGAAAGACCATAATTAAGAACTTGTTTATATCCCATCTGATTTTGTGATGAAACCTTCGTTTCTGTTCTTTGGCGTCAGACAATATGCACAGTTACTTGGTTCTGACAGTTTTCCCAATGAGATTGTCAGTGAAATTCCATAGTTAGACTGATGTAAAGATTTAAGTATTCTGGAGGTCAGTATTGTGAGCTTTAGAACTGAAAGAAATGGAGAATGTGTTTTCTTGAGAGGAATTGTAGGGATGCTACATAAATCTTACAAGGTAAATGAATTAATTTTTAGCTGCAAGAGGAAGAGAGAATAAATTTGATGTGTACTTTCTGTCACTAAGTATGAAAGACAGTATAGGTCATGCTGTCACAGCTAAGAAATATTACAACTAGAATTCTTTTGGTTCTAAATGTCTTGGGCTCAGCATTATGTAAGATCTAAATGAAACTGATTTTGTCCATATTTTTAAGACAGTCTTGTTAGAGAGCCACAAACAGCTGTGCAATTGTTATCTGTTTATATCTCTTCTCATTCTTTCACTGATCTGTGTTAGGACTTCTATATTGTACTTGTTCTAATTCCTAACTTAGATTTTGTTGATTTTTTTTCTAAAGCAGAACATTTCATGTGCAGCAGAACAGGCCCATAATTCACTGGAACATAAATCAACCACTGAAACATAAATCACCACTGAAAGACATTTTGTCTGTAATATTTGCTTAATAGGCAAGTTTAGCATGTCCGTATGATGTGAAACAACAGCTCAGTAATATAATTCTTGTTTTGGCATTCCACCAGTTCTTAATAATTTTACTGACTTCCCTTTTAAAATCAGGCTGCTTCTTCACATAATGTTCCTAATTTCAAATTTATTTTAATAGTATTGCTGGGGCTGAAATATAAATGAAGTCTAATGATTTACAGCTGTATTTGTGGGGGTGGGTTTGCTTCCACACAGGAGGATCCAAGTCGGATGAAAAAGTGGATCTTAGCAAAGACAAGAAGTTAGCCCAGTTCAGCAACTGGTTTACTTGGTGTCACAACTGTAGGCATGGTGGACATGCTGGGCATATGCTGAGCTGGTTCAGGTAAGTGGATGTTAAAATCTTAGTTATTTCACATGTGTGTGCTGCACTGAGTAGGACATACCTCCTTTGCTGTATCTATCATTATAGTGTTTAAATAATAAAACTGAACTATGATGCTGAGTTTTTCTGAGATACACACCCCTGCACATACTTAAATGTGTAGATTGCCAAATTATTTTACCTGTTTTTTCTTTTTTCTGTTATTGCTACTTAGAGACCATACTGAGTGCCCGGTTTCTGCCTGCTCTTGTAAGTGTATGCAGCTGGATACAACAGGGAATCTCATTCCAGCAGAGACTGTCCAGGCATAAATATTGTTTGAAAATATGTGGCTCTCCAATGGATGTCCATCATAGTCCAAGCATATATTTTAGACAAAGGTAATTTGTGACTTACTGACTGGAAAAAAAAAAAATAAAATGCTATCAAATTAGTAAAATTATGTGTGTATGAGTGTGCTTGGTAGAAACAGCTATTCCTGAAGTGAGCCTCTGTAGTGTGTGGTCCTTATTCAGAGGACTGAAGAAAAGCACTCCTGGATTTGTGGACTCTTTGGATTTACTGAAATCCAAAGACCGTTTTCAGTAAAGTTTTCAGGATAATGCTGATCGGCCCCAAAGCTGTGTTTATATGCTGTGAAAGTGGACCCTCAAAATAAACACTTGGAAAGTGTCCTTCAGAAGATGGCAAAGTGATGCTGTGGATTCCTCTGTTTGTTGTTTGATCACACTTTCTTGTATGCAAATGATGGTTTCCTCATAACTTCATTTAAAATGCTACTGTTAACTGTATTCTAAAGGTTTTTATTTTAAAGAAAAATCCATTTCTTCCTGTCCCCAACTTTTATTCATAGTAAAGCAATGTCTTTGCATTCAAGCTCTTATTTAATTTGCCTACATACCTAGCTGATGTGAATTATAAAGCTAAAGAATTTGGGGGTTTGCTCTCCTAGTGAAGTCTGTAGAGAGGAGTTCCCTGAGTGAGAAGTCATGTGTCTGTTTCAATGCAGAGTGCAGATAAACTATAGGAGGTTTTTAGTTGAGTGATTACTTTAGTACTGTGGAGACCTGAAATCTCAAGGACTGGAGACTTGTAAATATTTATTTTAAACTACATGCTGAGTTTTGACTACAAAAATATTTGAAGACTCTGGGATAATCAGGATTTCACCGTACTTCTGAAATATACTGGGAAGTGTGGAATCAACCTATATAAATCCTGCTTCTTGTCACCAGCAGACACTAGTCTGCTCCCAAAAGGCTGCACAATTTTAAGTAATTTATCAGACTAGTTCTAGATGAGTAACCAGCTGGAATTAAGATTATTTATTAACTTGAGAGAGCGTCAATGGTATTTTGTGCTAGGAGCTAATTGGTATTGTTGTCCTTGATTTTGTAGGCAACAAAACTCACACAAATTAGGGAAAAAACCCAAACCTGTTTTAAGGTATATGATAATAACATCAGTTTACTTGGTGTGTGTTTATTTATAGTATATGAGTTACTCAACACTTGTGTGCTATAAAATACTAAATGGAATGCTAGCAATAAACTGGTACTATATTGCCAGGACTGTGAAAATTGGTGTTTTAAGAGAATATATTGTAATATACCACTAGTTTTACATGCTCAATGTAGTTTCAAGAAGATAGAATGTGGAAGTGTTTTTTGTGGATATACGAGATTACATTCAGGACTTTGGGCTACATTTGCTGATTTAGCATTAATGTTGTAATAAATCTGCTGCATTTTTTCTGATCTAAAATTCTTGCCTAATTGAAAACAATCTTTTTTTAAGTTAAAAATCTAAGAGGTACTTGATACTTTTAGGCATAGGAGAGCAGTTCCTTTTCTTTCTTGTTAGAATATTTATTTCTTTTTCCAGTATTTTTGCACACTTCATTTTGCTGTTGAAGAGCTCTTCAAAATGTTCTCCATTTATAAATGTAAACTGGGGCTTACTGTATGGTACCCTATTTATATAAATACAGGCAATAAAGCTTTTGTTTTATGGAAATGAAGATTTTTAAGTGTCACGTGTGTTTTTATTCTTCTGCATTAACATTTAGTAAATTCTCCTGATAATTTCCATTCCAGTTGAATGCATCTACCACCATACTATGTCTCGCTTTCTTATGGAAAGAAAATTCATCTATAACGTCTTCAACTTGACTGTACTTGTTTGTGTCAAATTCTGTCATTGCATTAGATTAAATTACATGCTCACTTCGATACTCATCATGTCTTTGAAATGTTTTGGTTTATGGAGGTTGCATATTCTGGTACAGCATTGCTATCAGTTTTGGCTGTTAAATAGTAATCAGGCTTTTAGGCCAGTAATTACACTATTTGCAAAATTTACAGAGCAAGAGCTCTATGTTTTTTAATGATCCGATTTTTTTTCCTTGTTTTGCTTTTAAATTAATAAAGCTGTGCTTTTGGGGGTGATTTGTTGTCTTTAACAAAAACTATAGCTACACTCATTTTATTAGCTGCAGTTTTATATTTACTGTTCCCTGGTATTTGCTGAAGGTGGCCTTGCATGCCAGCATGTTTTGTCCCTGTGGTTCAGGCCGATTACATTTCATTGTTTCCATTTCCTTAGATGCTCCAGCGTGCCCTCCCTTCCTTGATTGAGTAAAAACACTTCATCATCATATGCACAGGCTGATTACACATGAGCACCACACGAGTTGTGCCCGTGTCCCGAGCAGGGACAGCAGAGCAGGTGAGCAGGGTCAGCCAAGAGCCCTGAAAAAAGGTGCCAGGAACGTGGTGGGAGCAGTCCTGTCCCAAATGACATGATCTTCTCAGTCAGCTCTGATTACATAATTCATTTCATACCCCTCTCTCCTCTCCCAGATTCCTGCCTTTTAGCAGCTTCATGTCCTCCCAAAGAAGCCACCAGCTCTTCACACCTTCCGTTACTGGTCCTGCTGCTGGCCCTGGCTTTGGTGACATCCCTCCCTGATGTTTATGATACAGTTGCCCTAGTGACTCCCCTTTGCTCAGCGACCCCAGCTGCCACTACTTCTCATTTTATTATCTATGACTGTGGCAGTTTCTCTCACCTTCCTTGTGTGTGTGATGCCTGGGGCCCTGCTAACCATCAGTCCTAGCTGACAGGTAGCAGGCCCCATGGTTATGCCTTTCCCTTCGTATTTGGAATAGCTGGCAGTGGAAAATTATGCTGGTAAATGCATATATGACCTGAGCATTACTCTAATAGCAAGAATATTTTACAATTCCTTGCATTGCTGTCTGGTTAGTACAGCCACATAGCCAGGGTAGGCCATTTATTCCCACAGCCTGAGAGTCTGTAGAGAAGCAGATAATTGAAAAGTAGGGGAAACGTTTAGTTATGTCCTGCTTGCCCAGCCACCCTTCACTGCTGTGGGACTGCATGAACAAGAAGAGTCTTGACTGACAAAGGGAAACTGGCATTTCACACTCAATGTAGCCAGGTTCAAACATTTACTCACAAGACCTCATACCCAAGGATGGTCCCTCTAAAATACTAAAGCCATCTAGTGGTAGGCTGCTTTATTTACAGACTGTGTACATGCACAAAATAGCAATTTTCTAAAGCAGAATAGAACAAAATAGTTCTAAATGCTAGGAAAACATGCAGACAGTTATTAAGAATGACATTGCATTCTGCTGAGCACTAAAATAGTGGTGGTGATAGCACTACAGGATAGTGTGGTATAGTGCCACATGGACCTTGTGTTCTTGTTTGCTATATGAGATTGACTCCTACTTAGAAAGCCTCCTCCTTCCTAGTGACAGTGACTGAGTCACTGTCTGTCCTCGAGGTAGAGAGGCATTAAAAAATAGATCCCCTGTTAAATTGATCATCTCCCCAATTTGTAGTAATTTTGATTAATAAGTCTTTGAAACAAATTCCTTGACTGAAAAAATATGTCTATAAATAAGTACAAAGCTAGCAATCCTATTAAGGCACTAAATCTAGCTACTAAACCCGAAACCTGTTTGTATGAAAGTTTAATGAACATGGCTAAGGTTTATTTAAAATACTTTGAAATATTTTAGTGATTCACAGAACGTATATCCAAAGCTTGATTTTACTTTGATTGTGCTACCTTAAGAGACCTTAAAAATTCTGCTATGAGTTGTGTAAATAGCTTGGATAGTAACAAAATTGGGAACTGTGCAGAAGTTCCTATTGTTAAAGTCATCATGACACGCTGGCTGAATACTGGTACTGCTGCTTAGATTCCCACCAAGAAGTAAGGTTGTGATGGGCAGTCAGCTGTGCTTGAAATCCCCAAGACTAACTAGACATATTCCAAGTGTTTAACATCAGTGCAAAAGGCAAGTACCTTGTACTCCACTTTGTTATATTTAACAGTTTCAGGTAAAGTAGAACAGGAGTCACCATATATCACTGAAAACAGCACTCTAACAAGCAATACTGACACAAATAGTTAAGTGTGAGATCTTTTTTATTGGTTGAGACCATTTTCAAGATCCAAAATACTGCCCCCTGTTCAATAAATTTGTATCAAAGCAACTGAAATTAAAAATCTTTATAGTAAAACCCCACCAAATTACTTCAGTAAAATATCCTAGAACCTCTCCTAATAACAAAAGGATTCTTACAAAACTTCTGTTTCTGTCACATCTAATCCTGTAAGAGAACACTCCTCATGGATGCAAAAGGGTTAGATATATACAGTGAGCAAGACATCCACAGAAGTATTCTCCTTGCTGAATAAATACATTTGCAAAGAAAATGCTCTTCATTGGCAATACTTAGCACATGTAACAGCATGTTTTCGGTATATTTGTTGAAAATAAATGCAACTGTTACCATGCTGTCAGGTACTGTTGTCACCCCTGAAGCAATAAATATATGCTAAGAAAAATCAAGTGTTCCTCCCAGTACCAAATGGGAAGTATTCAGGGAATTCATGAATAATTTTTAGTGCTTCATTGTAGAGTTCCAGATCTGAAAGAGGGCAAAGAAAATGGTTATGATGCATAAGCTAAATTCCCCAGAAGTCAATGACAACATTAAAGCACTGCTTATTTTAAAGTAGTATAGCTGAGTGATCCCAGTCTCCCTCAAATTCCCATTTTCCCCAAGACAGCAACACTTATTCCTTGTTTTCTGGAGGGTTCTTTTTAGGCCTGGTGGCTGCACAATCACACTAAGTTTAGGTCAAGGTGAGAACTGCACTCCAACAGGAGTGGGAGAAAAATCAGAGCATGGCAATGATCAAGACTGGCTTTGGCTTTGAGTAACTCCCTACAGTTTAACCATAAACCACTACATTTGGTACAGAACTTTTCTCATGACACTCCTTTTCTACACCCGGCTCCATATCTGGCAGCTTGAAGAGAGACCTCGTCTGTAAGAAAAGGTAATCAGGCTCTCCCTTCGTATTTACTGAAGAAGAGTTCAGATCTCAAAATGAATTTGTTATAATGTATATTCTTACTTACCAAATGGACTTTTGTCTTCTCTGAACTGGACGTATGACACACACATGATGGTTGCCTGATTTGTTACTCTTCCCACTACTTCAATAATTCCTGAGATCTCCTCATCTAGCTAGAAAACATACCAAAGATGAAATTAGCAACACTAAATTAGCTGCTATCTCTACTTAAGAGCACAGCACTTAAGCTAGGAACTCTCCACAGCTGACGGTTTGTTTGTGACACATTCTGTTTAATGTCAAACAATAGAGTACTATTGGATGGCCCTGTTGCCCTCCCCCCAAAAACCCACAAAAGCCTTGACCCACTTACAGATTTACAGGTTTTGTAATAGCCAATTCAGTACCAACAAAAAAAAAACATAGAAAGAGGCATCAGAAGGAAGATAACAGTTTATAAGTATATAAAACTGTATCAATTAAATGGTGAACAGAGAGTAATCTAGGACACAGAGAGCAGAAGAATCCAGATTTGAATGCACTGCATTAAATCCTTAGTCAATTATAGAACTCTGTAAGAACTAAGGAGGTATCACACATGCCAGAGAGCAGTTCCAGTGTTCCAGATTCAGGAGATATATTTGGAAATTATTTCTAAAGTAATCTGTCAGTAAGTGTTCAGAACACAAAGACACTAGCAAGCCTTTGGTTGAACAGGGGAAAAAAAGGCTATTTTCTTGCAGCTGGAAGTTAAAGTCAGCAAGCTTCACATTTATAAGACAAAAATGTGCCAGATCAAAATGCATTTTTCATCAACAAGGAGAGAATCCTGTCTTGAAAGTCTAAGAGGACCATATGCAAGTATTTCACGGGGAAAATGGCAAGATTTCTCAGAATTTAACAACTCATTCAGAGAAAAAGATGTAAATATACACATGCTCTCAGACAAGCTAGAGCATTTGCCATCACAACAAAAATAATCCTTTAATTACAACATTTGCTAGAGAAAAAAAATACTTAGAGACAGAAGAGAGTGTCAGGGTGTTATTCCTTCAGTGATACATGAAAACAAAGGAAACAGTATTTTTGTTCAGTAGTTCTCATTATATCTTATACCCATTGCATTAATTGCTTGGTGAGGTTTTTTTGGGTTTTTTTTGCTAAGAAAGAATGCTTCAAGCTAACTCTGAAGTTTACTGGAATGCTATGACAAATGTTCTAAGAGGATGTAGCAATGTCAACTCAAAAAAGCCTTAGGAATACTATATTCTTGGGTCTTTTTTGATTATAAAAACAATATGAAAATGGGAGGAAAAAGTAAAATTACAATAAAGCAAACACATGTAGTGGAATATATATTACACTGTAAACAACTAACAGAGTAAGAGAAAATAGCCAGGCAGCGATGTGTCTGACAAGGAATGAGTTCTGTCTCTTAACACTAGTTGAAAATTAGTGAAGACCAAGGCAGTTCATGGGTAAGACTGCAAGCTAGCTGAAAGATGCAAGAAGCAGAGGCAACGAAATAAGGTGGAAAATGGAAACAGAGTATTTTTTTTCCCGATTAAAAACTCAACACATGGAAGGCATGCAGAGGTTTCAGAAGAGACAAACCCTCCGGTATCCACAAGAGGCGACATTAAGTACTTCGAAAGCATTCCCTAACTTACAGGTTCGCTCAGCTCCACAGTCGTATGTTTCCCTACGCCATCCGAAAGCACGAAAAGCTTTCCAGTAGGATGAATCTACAAAAGAACATTAAAACCTACATAAGACATTAGGCCCGTGCGCTCTCAAGGCAG